TTGAATAGGCCTACCTTTCTTAATTATAAAAATAATAGGACCTTAACAGAGAAGAAAGGACTAATTGTCCTTTAGAAATACAAAACTATAGTGAATTCTTAGATTCTTTGATTTGGAAGAAGATACTGATTTATTATTACTCTGATCATCTTTATATAATTAGATCCTAAAATACACAGTAAAATTGATCTTTTAAGACTTTTTAACTCATTAAGTCATATATACCATGAATAACTGCAAATTCTAACTTAGCTGAGTGAAATAAGTCAATCAGAGAAAGACATGTATCATATGACCTCACTGATATGAGGAATTCTTAATCTCAGGAAACAAACTGAGGGTTGCTGGAGTGGTGGGGGGTGGGAGGGATGGGGTGGCTGGGTGATAGACATTGGGGAGGGTATGTGCTATGGTGAGCGCTGTGAATTGTGCAAGACTGTTGAATCACAGATCTGTACTTCTGAAACAAATAATGCAACATATGTTAAGAAAAAAAAAGAAGCAGATAGCAGGAGGGGAAGAATGAAGGGGAGTAAGTCGGAGGGGGAGACGAACCATGAGAGATGATGGACTCTGAAAAACAAACTGAGGGTTCTAGAGGGGAGGGGCGTGGGGGGATGGGTTAGCCTGGTGATGGGTATTAAAGAGGGCACATTCTGCGTGGAGCACTGGGTGTTATGCCCAAACAATGAATCATGGAACACTACATCAAAAACTAATGATGTAATGTATGGTGATTAACATAACAATAAAAAATTAAAAAAAATTCTAACTTAGCTTCCAAAAATATTGTGGCTTTATCCTACTAATCATTAGAATAACAGTGACAATCCTAATATTTTCTAGCTGATCCAAATACACTTTACCAACATAAATTGTTTATGGAGTAGTAATCATTAAACTAGTGTTTAATTTTTTCAGTGTTTTCCCAAAGTTCTTTTATTAAAAATTTATAAAAATAGCATTATGTTCATTTCAAAAACTGAACAGAGAAGTGTATAAAACAGAATGTGAAAACCAATCTTAATTACCACCAATACTTTCCTGTCTTCCATCCAGCCCTAGTATTCTTGCTCTCAAGAGAGAATCATTTCTTTAGTATGTATCTTTTGAGACCTGTATATCCCTGACTTTCAGCAGTTCATTTACAGTGGTATTTATTTCTTTTGGAGACCCCTACACTGGTTTGGTGGGGACTTTGTTCATCATTATTGACTTGTCAGCACTGTCATCAGCAGGGAATGCATATAAGAATGAATCAGACTTGTACTTCAAGTGGCTTTCGGCATAGTGGAGGAGAGATGTATGTATACAGTGATAACTATAATTCAAGATGAAAAAAATGTGAGGGAGGAACAGATGGAGTGCTATGGGATTCATGGGATGATATTTACCTTTGACTGGCCAAGAGCTGATAACTCAACATATATCCTGAAAGACAAGATTTAGGTTGGGGGGAGGCAAAAAGCAGATATACTGGCAAGAGAAAGGCACAGAGATACCAGGAGTTTACAAGGTTCTTCCATTTTCCTAGACTGTAGCATGCATATATGGTAGTAGCAGCAGATAAAGAAGCAAAGGTAGTTTAGGGGAGAACTCTGAACACCTCTATAATATACTTTAAAAAAATTTTAACAAAATAGTGCCCATGACTAGAGATGTGCACTAGGAATATTAAGCAGACATTAGAGGGGGTGGATGGGGCATCAGTCACTGGCTTTGCAGTAAGTTGGAAGAACAGTTGCTATAATGAGGTATAGTGGCCCTAGAGCTGCTGCTGAAATAGGACCTGTAGGTCTTAACAACATCCATGATCCATCAGATCTGAAAAGGCCTTGAGTATAAGACACACCTTGATTTTATGTACTGGTGACGGGGGACAAAAAAAACCACTGCCAGTTAATTTTCAGACACCACCAATTATAAGATACATCTTGATTGTAGGGATTATAATAATAAAGAAATGTACATCACAAAGTCAGTGAAATAGCGTAATTGTGTAGGTACAGGGAAAAGATGGGGCACGCAGGAAAAAGGATCGGAGAGAGCTGAGGAAGGAGGGGTGAGGTCAGCGAGACAAGTGGAGAAGCAGACCTTAAAGAGGAGAGTGCGTCTTCTTCCACCAGGAAACGAAGAAATGAATGAGCAGTGCCTCAAGCTGAGAGGCTGAGAAGCTAAGAACATCACACAAACTTACATTAGGTAACCTCCCTCTTGGTAAAAGAGGAGACAGGTCATTTGTAAAAAGAATGACTGGTGGGTTTGAAGGCTTGGGACCTAAGAGTGAAAAGGCTTCAGGTAAGTGGGGCATTAAAGATGGAGTATAAAAAAGTTAGAAAGGACAGAAAGAGTTCCCATCCAAAATGAGGGGCCCAGTTAGGTTGAAAGCCACAGATTTATAAAGAAACCAATTGGCCCTATTTTATGACTTTGTCCAGGAACACTTGGAGAGAAGGATGGAAGAGAACATGTGGAAGGTGCTTTCTGCAGGGTAGGAGATTGGCTGGACAGGTATGGTGGAAGGACAGAGAAGCAAAATAAGTTTCTCCTAAGGGATATTGTTGATCTGGCTCACCATGAAGTTCAGGCTAAGAAATGAAAGGTGAGGCCGGGAAGAATAGATAAACAGATTTTTTTTAAGTTGTCGGGGGGAGCATTTTAAAGGGATTCGAGATTATAAAGAAGGTGAAGGAAAAATTATTCTGAAGAGGAGGAGTAAGGAGAAAGTTGATTGGGGGATGTCAGAATTAAGATCATGGAGGTAGAATTCAGAAAGTTGAGTCTTGAAGATGTGTGACCTTTCTAAAACACAGATGGCTGTATATCTCTATGTGGCTTGAAAACCTCTGTTTCAAGATGACGTCTTCACTACTGACGAGAACAGACAAGGCTCTTCACAAGCTGGCCTTATCCTGCTTTTCCAGGCTAATATCTCCTCATTTCTTCCTGTGAACCCCATATTCTAACCACTCTGGATTCTTCTCTGTGGCCAGAATCCTCAGGGCTTTTATCCACCTTTGGCTTTTGCACATGCTGTTCCCCTTGCGTGAAATACTCTTCCTCCTCCTCTTTGCCTTGCAAACTCCTGCCCATCTTCAAGACCTAACTCACGATGGCACTTCCTCTGCCACATCCTTCTGGGTCCCTGCAAACAACACTGAGCACACTTTCATCTGTGCTCCAGCAGTACTGTCTTCAGACATCTTATGGAATTTTACCACAAACATTGATTTATATGTCTGTTTCTCCAGTAGATTGTAAACTCTTTGATGTCAGAAGCTGTCTTAATTCTCTTTACCCACAGTGCAAGCCTACAGTGTTAGGTACTTAATATCTGCTTTTTTTGTCTTTGTTGAACTTTAAATAAATGAGCTAATCAGTGCTTCTCCAACATTAAGGTGCATTCAGATCACCTGGAAATCTTGTAAAATTCAGATTCTGATTCAGTCTGAGGTTGGGTCTGGGATTCTACATTTCTAACAAGCCTCCAGTTGATGCCAGTGCTTCAGGCTCGTGAAACTAATTGCCCAAGTAAATAGCACAGGTGGAGTAAAGGTCAGTAGAAATGTGGAAGTGGAGCAGTTATGGGGACAGTCCGTTGGAAAAATCCTCAATATGAACACTAGAGCCCTAAAAATGATGACAGAAAATCATATAGGAAGAGATGCTTAAATCGTGGAATCAAGCAGGAGACCACTGTGGAGGATGGTAGTTGACAGGCCTGGTATAGATACAGTTCTAGGACTTAATGTTTTAGCAAAGAAAAAGGCTTTCCAGGGATGGCAGCTGCCGTGTCAAAGGATGTGCTCCATGGAGATGGTGGGGGTGGGGCAGTGGGGGTGGGGGTGGTGGCATCAGGAGTGGGGGTTTGGGGTTTCACAAGAAGGGTTTGCCGCCTCTAGTTGTTTATTCCTGATAGAATGGCATTTCTACCATCGCAGATCGGAGGGTGAGGGAAAGGAAAGCTGCATTTTAAGGGAAGGGAAGCCAGGAGGGTATAGAACCTGACAAGGGGTCATTTCCTGATCATAACATGAAGATCCTTTTTCTTTCCTTAAAATCATAGTTGACAGAAAAAGTAGCCCTAATAAACATTCTGTTCCCACATAGAGTCTCACAGGTCTGGTAATGCTAAGGAGGAGTTCTGTAAACCTAATTTCTTGTAAGTACTATTGTATAGAATATGTGCTTTTTTTTTTAACATATGGAAAAAAGCAAAAATATTTACATCTCCTCCCACTAACCCCCTTTCCCCACATCAAAGTAATTGATTTTTACAGCCTGATGTGTACTCTTCCAGCTTTTATCCATGCAAATTTATGTACACATAGACAGGAATTTTTCAAATTCCATAATGGTATTTTCCATACACATCATTCTGCAGATTGTTTTTCTTACTTAGGAATGTTGTAAACATCCCTCCAGGTCAATGGAGAGCTCTAACTTCTTTTTTCCTAGTCATTTTTAAATAGCTGTGTATAAATATAGATGTCCCATAATTTGTTCTGCCATTCTCCCATTGAGGCACAATTTGGTCATTTAAAATTTTTGCCACTACAAAATATGACACACACACAAAAGTCCTGCTGTTACCAGTGCCTTCCATGATTTCACCACCCCCATGTGTATCACAGGCAACTTTTATATCAAGGACAGCTTTCAGTGAAGCAAAGCAGTGACTAGGCCTGCACTAATACAGTAGCCACTAGTCACATTTAGCGATTTATATTTAAATTTGCTAAAATAAAATAAAAAATTCACTTCCTCAAGTCACATCAGCCTCATTTCAGCTGCTCAGCAGCCACATGTGAGTAGTGGCTCCCCTATCGGATAGTAAAGGCCAGACCATTTCCATCCTCACAGAGAATTCCACTGGACACCCTGGACTAGACACTAATGTTACATCATAAAGAAGAACGTATTTTTCAGTGGGTTAGTCTTTTAATGAGAGCACATTTTTTAAAGTACAAACTTTGTGTCTTAATTGGTTGCCCCTGCAGTTACTTCAATGAGAATCAATACCCAGATGAAGCTAAGAGAGAAGAAATTGCCAATGCTTGCAATGCAGTTATACAGAAGCCAGGTAAGGCAGCAAGCTGCCACTTTCCTCCATGGTGGAGCTTTCGGCTTCAGATCATCATTTGGGACGAGGAATCTTCTTTTACTCATTCCATCTGGGTGCCATTTGCTCCATCCTCACCACCTTCCTGTCTAGGGACTGCCCTGTCCTGTTCAAGCAGTACTTCTTAGGGATGCAATTCCAGTACTCCAGATCAGATATGCACATGGAAAGTTTCCAGGGAGTGTCCCTGCTTAAGATATGAGACCTTGAAATTATATTTTTTAAGACTGTATAGATTTTTTTCTCCATAAATATAGCATAACTATGTCAATTCCAAAATTTTAAAGTTTGGAATATTTAAGCAAGGCTTGTAAATGAAAAGATTTAGATTTTTTTTAACAAGTATTTTATAATTCTGTATTCCTGTTTGAAGAAAGAATTCTTATTGGAGTTGGCTTCTTTCTCCTTCCCATGTTGGGATGACTTCTGCATATAGCTAGGAAAAACTAAGGGTAGTTCCATTCTGAAGTTGTATTGTTCTCATGCAAGTCAGCCGAGCCACTTAAACACACATATGACTTTTCTTCCATGTGTTAAAATACTATTCCACATTTCACAGTTTTTGTTACCAGAAATCATTCTCAGTTAAGAGGATCAATTGATCTTCATTTGGCTGGTTAATTTGATTGGCTTAAAGGCTATCTGTACAAAAGTATCAATGTTTTATCATAATTAAAATGTGATTTATTCTCCCTTACCCAGAAGCCAGACTGCTAGCAGTCTAGACCCTACAGACACCCTGCCAATGACACCTATACCCTTACTTCACACCAGCCAAAGTCCCACCCATGAGGAGAGCAGGAGCTCAGAAGCTTCCTGGAAAACACTTCACCCTGTATCATCAGTGCTTTAACCTGTTTTCTGGCTTCTCCACCCACTGTGGATTAAAAGCTAAAACAGAAAAGACCAGTGGAGGAGGGAAAGGTGCAGATGGGCGCTTGTTGGCCAGCATGGTGCTAATCTGTGAGAAGTCACATTTGACAGCAAAGAAACTAATAAATCTAAAATGCAACCTGAATTGGGCTATGCGTTCTAGCATAGTTACAATAATGGACAGTCAGAGTGACCTCTAGTCTTCAAGAAAACATGGGTAATAATTGTTCCCTGCTGTCTGAAGATAGCAGGAAACAATTTATATAAGGCCTTAAAGATGTAAGTAAATAGCAGGAAACAGTTTATATAAGGCCTTAAAGATGTAAGTAAACTTGAGCTACCTGAAAACTTGATGAAGACTGACATACTCATCTACAATGATGCTAATTAAATGAAGCCTCCATGGACTATCCTATGACCTTTGAACCCTGGCAGCCTGACTTTGTGGAATTCGTTAATTTTGTATTTAGTATTGGAATTCTTTAGTGTTATGTGGCTTTCTGAAATATTTTATGTCCTTGGTTGCTATTTTTGTATTAGTTTTCATTCATTTAATAATAGTTTAAGTGTATACAGAATACTAAAAAACAACAAAACCTGTATCTGTTATTCTGGCAATAAATGCAATCAAAAGAACTTTTCAAAAAGAAAGTATTACTCCTTAAAACTAGTCTCAGCTATAGACTATCTGAATCTTATTGCATGTATTCACAGGCAAAAAACTGTCTGATCTGGAACGAGTTACCTCCCTGAAAGTATATAATTGGTTTGCTAACAGACGGAAGGAGATCAAGAGGAGAGCCAATATTGGTAATGTATCAGAGAGGCTGTTTCCCTTTTGAAGCAGTCATGGACATTGTATTTACTTTGAGAGCACCTTCAGTTTAGAACTGCAGGTCTTAATGATGCTAACTTTTAAGCCTAACAAGAATTGTCCTTATGTTTTTCTTTGTGTTTTTAAGAGTTAGTACTATTAGCATTATTTGTATTATATTAATAATGGCATTGTTCTTAATATTCTAGAGTCTAGAATTAGATATGGCCCCTGACTGCATGACTTCTGTGCTGCATATTAAAGCTACTTTCTAGGGTCTTGAGCGAGGGAATGAGACTCTGAGCTTCTTTGTTATTACTGGGCCATGACTTAGATATTAAGAAACATGTGCTTAATAGAATTGGAATGAAAGAGTCTTAATAGGGAACACAGCAAAACACAGATTTTTTAAAAGAGCATTTAAGAAATATGAATTGATGACATTGGGGTGGGAGATTGGTTTTGAGCTTCTAAAATTGTATTTCATTTCTAAACTTAACTCCCTACCTCTCCATCAATACAATTGTCAAACACTTTATAGAACTCTGAGACAGGAGGGCTGTTGAATTAGTTGGTAAGTATTTATGAAGCACCTAACAGTCAACCACTCACATGTGGCTCGCATAGCAGCAGGGGCTCCAGAATGACAGATGTGTTCCTCCCCTGGCCTGTGTGCAGTTTAATTTTGTCCATCTACAATTTAAAAGAAAACATAAAGGAATCTAGGTTCTTTTTTAATTACACCCTAGTTTCCTCAGCACAAAAATTAATTCCATGTTCAAGCGATTACAATAATGTAACAGATAATTTAGGGATCTATTTGCTTTTTTCGAAGAAGCAGCAATCCTGGAGAGTCATGGGATAGATGTACAGAGTCCAGGAGGCCATTCCAACAGTGATGATGTTGACGGAAATGACTACTCAGAGCAGGTGAGCAGCTGAGAGCAGAGGTTCTTGGTTACAGAGTGGGTGGGACAGTATGACAAGTCAATTCTGTGGGTGCGTTTGGTACGGGGTGGGAGAGAGGAGACAATCCAGTGTCCCTCCACTCTGCTCATGCGTGTAGTTAGATTTTCATGTAATTTGAAAGGAATGTGGTAAGATTCAGTTGTCCTGTTAAATTTGTGAGAAACTGTTATTCACCCACATGGATTTATTGTCATACAACAGGATACTTGGCAAGTACGCAATGGGGAGGAGGAGGAGGGAAGAAGTTCAGAGGGAGGCAGAGAAGCAGAGAAGGTAGAAGAAGAGAGGAGGATCTGATCCAAACAAGCAAGTTACACCATCCACCACACACACACTCAATGTTTGAGAAATACTAGGGGCTACTGGGTAGCTGTAATCCATGCCTAAACGTGTACCAATGCAGCACACAGTAGAAGGTCCCACCCACCACGGCCCCATTGCAGTGAGAACCCTCATGCCCAGATGAGTGGTTCTTCCAGAGTCTCTGGCACATTGACACACACATCTTGTCATAAATGCATGTCTTCTCACATCACCCTGACCTAGTCTTCATTGCTTGGGGGGAAAAATATATTTAATTGTAGCCACTGAATGGAATAAATCAGTCACTAAGAACATGGGAGTTTTCCCCCCACACATCTCTTGACAGATTTCATTAAAATTGTCATAGGATTTAAAATTCATTTCTGTTTGGAATATGAAAAGAATGTATGCTCTCTTCTGGACCCTAGCAGGGAAACTTTAGTTCTTTCCTGTGGTGTATATATACCTCTTCATGGCCCCTCAGCCAACTCTTAAATGTACTCTGCTCTGTTCTTCCCTCTGGCAACCACTTTACAGCCTCTGTTTACCAGCTTGAATGCAGATGCTGCAGGAGTGCACGCAACCCCCTTTTAAACTCTAAAGACCAGTCTGTGAAAATGGGAATGAAACAGTGATGCCCATAGTTCCCATGGATTACCTTTTCTCTTTTTAGGACTCCAAATCATAGCTCCACATTTTATTCAAGCAAATATTCTGTCTTTCTAATCAAAAATATTCCTGTTATTTTTCAGTCTACCAATGTAGGTGGATCATTTCCACCATTTTTTCCACATGCCCTAAGGGCAGCACATCCCATGATTTTTTTTTTCCAAAGGGGTTTACCCTTTCCAAAGCTTTCTGATGCAGAGTTCCCCTGAAGATGTGACAGGTGAGAAACTTAGCCCTTGTTTGTAACACCATCTTCAGTGTCTGACAAATACCCTGCAATGCCAGTTTCCTTCACAGCTTTATTGTTTAACACATTGAGCTGTGCATGGAAGGAGAGCTTCACACTCCCCCTAAGTACGACACCTGCCGTTTCCCTGGCACAGCAGCCTGACAGCAGGAGAGCACCACCGTGGTCTCCCGTAGCCATTTCCGGCTCGTATACTTTTGTCCTGTTGTAATTGAGAGGTTTTGGTTTTTTGTTCTTTTATAAAAATGCGTTTTTACCCATTAGATGTTGGTGTCTGTAGTTTAGTTTTCTCAGTTCAGCAGAGAGATACAATGAGGTCTGATAATCTGTTTGTAAGAGTACCAGTCCAGAATTTAATAGCTCACTAGTTTGGCCTTCAATGACTAGTGCTATGTTTGTTGCAAACTAGAATGATCAGATTTGATTAGCATCACCAGCAGTCTTTCCGATAGAAGGAATAAAATTCTCAGCAAGACAAAAACATTTTGGTGCTTTTTATTTGTTGAATCATAATAATGTCAATTGGAAGTCCTGACCTATTTCCATTCAGTGTCTACTTAAATACATTTCACCTCTACTGTGTCATGAGCCCCTCCCCCACTGTTTCCTCCCACGAATGTTCTGCCTAGCCTTGCCCTCAGCATGCCTTTCTGTGAGTTGGAGAATTTTGCCAGTCCACTAATAACGTTTGTTTCTTATTTCTGCACATCTAGGATGACAGCACTAGCCATAGTGACCACCAAGACCCCATCTCATTAGCTGTGGAAATGGCAGCAGTCAACCACACTATCTTGGCATTGGCCCGACAAGGAGCCAACGAAATCAAGACAGAGGCCCTGGATGACGACTGATCAGGGAGGGTTGAACAGGAGAAGTTAACTTAGTTTAGACGTAGCACCTTAGCAGACTTTCCTCGGTCCTTAACATGTGTTCTTACAGTATAACTTGCAGTTTCTTGTATGTCAGTTAGCCGTTAGGGTCTTGTTCTGTGAAGATGGCATGGTGCCCTCAGCCTTTGCATATACTCTCTCAGTATTAATTCCCAGTAAATAATAACCAACCAACCAACCAAACTCCCTCTCCCAGCCCCCGAGGCTAGAAAATCTTGCTGCTCTGTCTTAGCATTCCAAGAAAGTGCTTCCAGGTATTTAGATAGCCCTCAGTTCTCCAATATTAGGCTACATGTAAAACCTTGGGTACCTTTAGATTCCTGTAACACTAGTCTGTACCCTTTTCCTTCCCCAAGACTGATAGGATGCAAGCTGAGGTAGTGTGGCCCAGGATTGACAGACACCATTTGGGGAGTATCCACAGAGTAAAAGGAACACTAGAATTCCCACTCAGCGTGGGAATCATTGATTTCCAGCTGCAATAAGCCGTGCCTCATAATAGTCACACTGTGGCTAGATTATACTTCTTTGGGTGCTGTGCTAAGAATGTCCATGGAAAAACTTGATCTCAGATTTTGGTTGACGTTTAACATGCCTGACACAGACATCCTTTCCTCTCACAAGCTGTGTGACTTAGTAGATAAAATACTGCCTTCTGCCTTTGGGACCATGATTCAAACAAACAAAAAGACAAAAAACAAAAGTCATTAAAAAAAAAAAAAACCCAGCTTGAGAGCATTGGAAAAAAACATGAGCTGAATGTCTAATGGATGTTAAGTCCAGTTCTCAGAACCACTGTACGTTGCGTGGCACAGGTATGTGCCTGCCGGGAAAAGTGCTGGAGGCATCATGGAAGCTGCTCTGCCTCCTGTTTGTGTTCCTTTTCCCTGCTACCAAAAAGTCTTTCAAGGATGGAGCTAAGGTCACAAATGAGTGAATGAACTTCCAGTCTTTGTATCCATTAACTGAAGCCCCCTCAATATGAGAGGTTGATAGAGGACTTTAGCGTGGGATTATGCTGGCTGACTATCACAAATGCAAATACTTTCCTAAATAAGAGCAGAAAAAAGCAGGGGACAATTGCCACTTATGTGGTGGGTCTTCGAGATACAACGTGATGTGACTGCTTTGGTGTTCTCTTTACTCTGTCCTTGTAGAGGTGTGAAAAGCTATATTGCTACAGGCAATTTATTTAATAATTGGAAGCCATATTGATAATGGATGTGGTAATATTTGTAAAGTTTAATCTACTTTAAGCGGCAGTAACTAATGGAATTTTTTTCCTTGATCACATATGTAGCACTTTTGTTACTTTTTAAAGATATTTATATTTGATAAATCTTTTTTTCATTTTGAGAACTCAAAATACCAAACAGTGAACTTGCGTTATAAAGTCACCCTGTGATCACCTTGTCATCTAGTAGCAAAATGATGAACTATTCATGCATCAAAGAAAATTACATCTGCTGGCCTTGTATGAAAATGATCTCTTGGCATCCAGATTAAATGACACACTGTCACTGTGGGGAAGAGGAAACCGCCTTCGATGTAGCAGCGTAGGGTGCGTCTGAAGGAGGCATGACTGCTGTATATTTTCTGCCTCGTTCCATCTCCTTTCTACGCATGGTGGAGCCTTGTTTAAAGGGGGATGTGGGGCTGGCTATTGAACAGGGCTTCTGTCTTTTCGTCCATTACCTGAGAACGATTTCTAAGGTGGAAGGAAGGTGCCGTTCCCTTACCTCTTCACCCCTCCTCCCCCACCAAATGTATTCAGCCTAAAACCATTGAGAGAGAGACTGACCTTCTTTGTTTTTCCCTTCCTTGTTAGGGAGATATTAAATATCCACCAGTTTTTAGCTGGTCTGACTCCACTTAAGGCACATGCTGACGAGGTCTTCTCCGTATCCGTTCATCCTGCTTAGGCCAGTGTGTGGAAGCCTTCGAGAGGGCATGAAGATGCCACCTGATATGGGTCTGTGATTTTAAAGAGCTGTGGGCAGGGACTGGGCCTGCTCTTGTTTGTGGATTTCAGGCAGATAATGTATATACTTCCAGCTTCTAAGAACTGAAGTAAAATGGGGTAGTCTTTTCTGTTTTACTGTATTACTTGAACCAACAAATTCAAGAGTAGCATTTGTAATTCTCAGGAATGATCCCCCTGCTCATTTTCTTTCTTGGTGTGTTTGACTTTTTATTTCAGTTAGGAGATTATGTTATCTTTCTTTCCTTTTATATTACGTAGAAGAAATATAACATATTGTATCTTTCCATTTCGGTGGAATTTTGTCTGCTTAATCTCAGTTGACTCAGAAAGAAAAGAAGAGAGAAAACTATCCTGTCTGACAAGCCACATCCATGATTTATTGTAAGGAGATTATTATAATTGATAGCTTCTTTATGATGGTTGCTAGTATCATTTGTTCTTGCTGGTCTTTTTAAAGAAACAGACTCAAACTGTTAAGACAGCTGCAGTTTCTAAAGAAATACAGTGATTGCCAGAGAAGAGCTAAAAGGTTTCATTGTTTTAAGGCCTTAAGAAAGGAAAAAGCTTCAGAGAATAAAGGAGAGTCAGTATCTATGAAAGCAGTACTGGGCCCTATCTGGCAACCTGGAAAAGGTGAAAGAACATGTCTACCAGTGCAGGATAGCCTATATTGGGTTCAGTAGGAACAGGAGGAAGGAATCTTTCATCCAGAATTCTTCTTTTAATTGAAGAAGACTGCTGGCCTGCTCCTAAGACGACCCGCTGCCTTACATATAACTTTTGCTTTTTTACTAAGAGCAAAATGTAGTTCTTTGGGGCCTAGATTTAAATCTACCATTGCTGGTTTGTTTTTTGTTTTGTTGGAGTT